AGTACAGTCTCTCTCTACANATATAATATAGTATACTATATATATATATATATATATATATATATATATATATATATATATATATATAGCTTATAAGATCAACATTGCATTGCTTGATATGCACAAATATTGGTGATTTTGAGATTTATAGCTGTTGTTATGCATTGATATGCAAGCCACCGCACAAAGATTGGTGATTTTGGAGTTTGTAGCTGTTGTTATGCAGGCCAACCTATATTGTTCTCTTAAATTTGGAAACAAAACCCCCATATGTCTGCTTCTTCAAATAGTGCTTGTTCTATATGTTGTGACATCATTATTTACACATTACAATATTAAATAGAAAAATGACACCATCTTTGTATTTGTTATAAATTCTATTATACCCGATGATTTTCAAATATCACGATTAAACCATTATATTTAAAAATTCGTTACTATTTTATTCTCCCACTTTAAAATAGATGTTTCAAAAGGATGCCATTATAAATTAGGTCGGTTTCTGTACCACCATCTTCAATGTAGCTTTCATGAAATGGAACTTGTGATCTTATGATTCAAAGACTTCTATTATGAACCAGTAGTATCCATCTTACACAATGGAAATAAACATATTTTTCAGCATTTGAATATTACATAGAAATACAATGGAAATACATGAGAATTGTGATCTTGAGGGGCATAAATTTCTCATCTCTACTTCTCCAAATACTTGTCGATTGTGGAACTCAGTGTTGATTTTGGTACAGCTCCAATGATGCTCTCTTTCTTCTCTCCATTCTTGAATAACAAGACTGTAGGGATGCTCCTAATTCCGTACTGACTGGCGATGGTGGGACATTCGTCTGTGTTAAGCTTATAACACATGATCTTTCCGGCATACTCCTTTGCAAGTTCGTCAATCACAGGAGCGATCATCCGACATGGACCACACCATGGAGCCCAAAACTCGACAATAACCGGTGTGTCACTCCCCACCACCAAGTTGTTCCAGTTGGAGTCCGTGATCACCATAACTACATGAATTGCATGGCAACTAGGCATGAGTATCTAGAAATGAACTCGACGGTGGGTGTCACAAATGATGTCTTTTCTCACTGAGCAAAAAAAAAAACCTAGGTGTGGGCAACCTTAGTAGGGCGAGAATGGGTCGGATTGGGTCCGGATCACCATGATCCGGATTCGAATTTAGAGAGTATAAATGGGATTTGGATCCGGATCCAGATCCAATCGAATCCAAAATATTTGGATCCATTATATGGGATCCGGATTTGGACCCGATAGGATAAAAAAAAATTATTTTATATCTATGAAATAATATAATATATTATATAACAAAAAATAATATATAACATATATGAATATACAAAATAATATGTAATAGTTTAATAAATAGTTCAGATCCAAATCAGGTCGGCCTATACCCAGATCCGATTTGAATTAGTATTCGAATCCAAAATTTTGGACCTAAATTGGATCCATACCTAGATCCGGATAGAGGTCCAAACTTTGGGTTTCGGATCCGTACTGGAAAAATTCCCTAAAACCTTAGCTCCATGAAAGAAAGCAACCTTACGAAGATTTCTATTTTGGAAAATGGAATATCCTTGCTTGTCATGGTGAATAGGGATAATTCCCTGGAAAAACAAAATAAAAAAGTAGAAAAACCACTACAAGTAAATTTAGGAAAGTGAACCATACACCATGATATGCCCGTGGTGGACCATTTTCAACGGCAAGATTAGGGTTGCAAGGCCGGGCCGAACTAAAATGGGCCAGCCTTGAACTAGGCCGGGTCCAACCCTACCCTCGGGGCATGATTGCCTTGCTTGAGCAGGCCTTTGGCTTCATTATGTGGCCCAAGCCCTAGTTTTTAAAGTCAAACGGACTAGGCCAGCCAAGACACCCCTAAGATGCTCCATATACCATGCGCTGCTGGTGTACTAGATAGTATCTATCATCAAGATAATTAGTTAACCTCCACCGTTCTTCTTTGAGAATGAATAGTGAATAAATGCATGGTATTCCCCATTCTGATTAACTCCCACACAAATAGCAAATAAAATAGGGTTCGTATTGCTTCCACATGTGGAGGCTAGCTCTTTTTAATGGTTTAGATTGAACGCTATTCATCTAAGGGCCAATAATGAATCTTTATTTTTAGTTTTTTATTTAAAAATAACATTAATATAAAATTTTGGTTTTAGGTTCATTTTCCTAAGTAAGATGGAATAAAATTGATAAAAGAATATTTTGAATAAAAAATATTGACAAAAATAGATTTGGACATATTTTGATAATATCATATTTAATATAATTTTAATAATTTTTATTTAGTTATATTTATAAAAACACACCTACAAAACAAAATTCTATTTTATTTAAATAAAAAATAAAATACGAGACTAATTTTGAACCGTTGGATAGCTTCACATGATGTGGACGGGGATTACTTTTTCAATAAAATATAAATAAAAGTAATGGGTTAAGTGTAATTCACAAATAAAAACCTCTGGTGAAGGACCAAAATCTGCAAAAGCTGATAGGATATTTGACACAAAACTATGATGAACAAGAAGAATGACACACAAGTTATTTTTTGCAGAGAGAGAGAGAGGGAGAGTTACCTTTGTCGACGGTATTTTGGGCTTCGCACACAGGAAACTTGCGGCGCCGGCCGCGGAGGCGGAGGCGGTGAGTGGAGGATAGAGAAGAGGAGAGAGAAGCAGTGGTCAATTTGAGGCCTTTGCATGTCGGCAAATTGAGCTTTTCCTTAGTGGGAAAGGGAAAGGGAAAGGGAAAGGGAATGGGAATGGGAGGAGGCCGTAAGATGGAAGCTCTACTTGTAATATTGTTCAATTGGATGCAAGTCTTTGACGCCATTGCAGCAAAAGTATGAAGCTCAGCTCAGCTCAGCTCAGCTCTTCTTCTGAGCTTTAGTGGTTTTGAGGCATTTCTATTCTTCAGTTTTTTGTTGGTGAAGAACCTGTGGTGGAAGGTAGAGGTGCGTAGGTGCCCTTTCACACTCTAGTGGATGAGAGAGCCTCACAACCTTTGATATGACTTTCCCAACATTATCCTTTTAAATTTCAATGCTCCTCCCCCTCTTGACCACTTTCCCAATTCAATTCCTCTCTCTCTCTCTCTCTCTCTCTCTCTCTCTCTCATACACCCAAAATTCTCAACATTCAGTTTTATTTTAAAGACACTTTAAAGTTAGCACTATTTACTCCACAATTTGTAAGACCCCTAGGGGTGTAAATGGGCTGGGTCCGGTCGGTGTAGACCCCAATCCTACTGGGTAGTTGGACCAATGTAGGTCGGTCCAGGTCATTGGGCCTGTACCGGACCTAACGCAACTTGATTTGGTCCAACATGGACTTGGACCCATCATATGGATCTATGCCCAACTCATTCGGGCCATTAATCGGGTCCAAACTTTGGTTGACCTGACACGATTTCCACCCCTACCCATGATCTTGAAAAGTAAAAATAAAGTTTCCCTCATTTATAAATAAATCCCTTATTACAAGCGATTGTACACTACGAGACCATTTATATTTGTTACAATAAAGTTACAATTATTCCTAGTCAAATTAGATGGCTTGGGTAATATCTTGGAGTTCGAAAAACACTTTTTTGGACTTGAAGTCCAGTCTATGACACTCTTACACCCACTTGATTTGAAATTTGATGGTCAAAAGTGATTCTGACCTCTTTGTACCAAAAGTAAAAAGTCTCTTTGTATACTTTTCCTTCCGAGAATGGTTCAGCCGTTTAAATGAAGCCTTACACGAATTTTACAAATTTATGACAACTGTCCCATGACTATCCATCTCGCTTCTTATCCTTTTAGAATTATCAATGAGTATGATATGGGTGGCAATTGGGTCAGGTCAAACCACCAAGCAAATAGGTCGACCTGAACTAGGTCCAAATTTGTCCCTAGATATTGGACCCGATAGGTTGGATTGGTTCCATTTGATTTGGACTGACCTAGTATGGTCTGGGTCCATTATAGATCTTATTGGGTTGGGCTGTATCACGATCATTGCTAAACTGACATGATATTTATATATGTAACATAAACATAACCTGTGGTAGTTATTTTAGGGTTGCAACATTATTTATAAAATTAAGGTTGCACTACTCTACACTATCTATTTTATTTGGATGGTATAGATTTGACACATCTTTTAAGATAATACCAATACAATGCATGTCTTTTAAGATAGTGTCCAATCTACACCATCAAAATAAAATGGATGGTATATATTACTGCAATTTTATTTCTACAAATAGGGTTGCAACCTTATATAAACTTTCCTTAATATAAAAGGATGAAGTTTATATAAGGTTTTAAGGTGCACATAAAAAACCCATTGCAAAAGGTTGTTTTGAAGTTGGAAAACCCTCTAATTGATGATTTTAACATCAATATATATGAATATGAAGAAAAAAAATATTTTCAGTCCCAAAAATAGCACATCTTGCAATACATTATCTAGACCCGTCCATTTTTCCATGTGTTTACCGATTTACTTGATTTGAACTATTTTTGGATTCTAAAATTTTATAATTGAAGCAAAAAATAGATTTTAAAGCCATCTTAAGAATTTTTGACACTAAAAGTAGGGAAAGGTTTCTATAGTTCCTCTGCAACATAGAAGATCTATGCTTCCCCTATCATCTAGCCGTCCAATTTTGATCAAGAGAGCCACTCACCGTGTGATCAAAGTATTTTATTTTTAA